GGGGGGGGGGCTGGGCTGAGATCGAAAATTTATACATCTGTCCTTCACATTAACTCTGACCACATAGGTGCACAACTACCCCTGAACTTTTTCAAAAATTCGACCAAATATTTTCTAGAAGACGGTATCCGTGGTTCACGCACATGGTTGTAGTCCCTTCTACACAAGAGCAAATGCAATACATTAACTTAAGACCTCATGAAATAAGTTCTACAATAATCCCGGCCACACAGATGCATACTCGGTAGAAGCGTGTAAATCCCTACAACTACCCAAAGGGGCTTTCCTTTCAAAGTTAGTGTTCATGGCCACACACAGCCCAATCAACACAGTTTCTTCGACTACATGGACTGCAGAGGTATTTGATTTGGACACATCGAAGTACTCTTCATGTCCACACAGAGCCCCATATCACATCCCAAAAAAATGGTGGCCGCTACAGAAGTGTCAGACAGGAGGCTCAGATGATAAAGATATATAATGAAAATCAGATGCTCATGTGGCTCCGTCCCTCGTGGCCAGAGCCCCCAGCGCACGCAATAGCATGCGTAGCCGCCTGGTCTCTTACTTATAAAGCAGTACTTGGTGTGTCGGTTTGTGTGTTTGTCGGTTTGTCGGTCTGTTCGTCCGCAAAACTTTATAATTGCGATAAAGGTAGTGATATGGGAAACTCAGCTCTATCCTACATTCCTTCTTATATTAAAGCAGTAACTTGGTGGTGGGTAGGTTAATGGAGTAGAGTGATTAGGGTAGATTGAAGTGAGTAAAGTGGAGTGAAGTGAAGACTCAAGACTGTGATTTCTATCTGTACTGGCATCGTGCTATGTATGTCTATACAAAAATCAGAGGTGATAATGTGGTTGAGAGACCTTCCCTCTTCCAGTTTTGAACGGTATAGCGCAGATAAGGAAGTGAGCCTATATGTATAACTGAGCTCAGCAACGTTTTTAGCCAAGAACATGCAGTTTTTTGACCTGAGCTTCAGAAGTAAAGGAGCACGGGGTGGGTGAGGTGCACATGCAAACCCCGGCGCCAACTACATTTTCTAACTACTTTGTAAAAGTAGGGAATGAGACCCGACGTAAGCAGGGCGCCAGGCGACTCCACTAGTGTGTAAACAAACAAATGAATTTCAGCTATCTGAACGGCTGATACCCTTCATCGTTTAATAACGCCAAAGAGCGACGATATCTTCCGCAGATTGTCTTCTCGGGCGTTTTGTGCGTCCAGTGCGATTTACGCCTAGGATGTCAAGTGCGGTTAATCACCGTTGATAAATGTAGCAGTAAAAAATGTTTTGTACAGAGTACAGGGCCAATTAAAACGGCAAGTACACTGTAGACTACTTTAAGACTAGACCTCATCCAAACTGTTGCGTTCCCACTCGAAATCTCACGCTCCAGCGCCACTTCTCCGCTCCAACTCGGTCCCGCCCATCGCGCCAAACGACATAGGCCGCATTCATACTAGGTGCCGTGTACGGCACTCGGGTGCCGTAGACGGCAGTCTCGGTGCCGTGTACGGCACTCGAGTGCCGTAGACCGCACTCGGGTACCGTAGACGGCACTCAGTGCCGTACACGGCACTTGGCTGCCGTCCACGGCACCAGT